AAAGCTGCTCTAGGGCTGAAAGAAGGAACATGGTATAATGGAAAGAACACAGGGTTTGGAGTCAAAAGATGTTTTTGAATCATAACTTAATTTAACTGTGAAAATGGGTGTATTACTTTAACTTTTAGTTTCCTTATTTCCAAAATAGAGGTCATAAATTTGTCACATAGTTGTCAGGATAACATAATATGTATTGTGATAATAAATATGGAAGCACCTTGTAAAGGGTAATAAAAATAATTTTTATTATGCCTTGCTAGAAAATTAAGTCGTGAAATATCCCAATTTTTTTCACCATTATATTTCAGCACAGATCTGTCATACAGTAAAACATTTAAGATATGCTAAAGTGAACATAACAAAAACCCATCACCTCCCTTTGAAGTCTTACCTAAGCAGTTTTTCTTCAAATGTGTTCCTCAGAACATCAGAATCACCTCGGGTATTTATTTGTTTGAATGTAGTTTCCAAGGCTACTAAATCAAAATCTCTGAAGACAGGCCTGAGAATCTACATTATCAAGTTCCCCAGGATATTCTTACAGATACAAAGTTTAAGAACTACTACTTTTTGGAGATAAGATGGACAAACAAATCAGCCTATCTAAGGTTTATTTTGGGTACTGGGACTGTCTAGCAACTTGGGTTACACTAAATCTGCATCTCCTAAGGGGCATAAGCATGTGTATTTTTAAGTGTCACTAATGGTTCAGCTGTAAAGCCCTGGGTAGGAACTACTATTCTATCATAATGTCTATAAGTCAGTGCTACGCAAAGTGTGGTCCATGGACTAATGCCATGAATGTCTGCTACCAGTCCATAAGTACAAACATCAATGAGTAAGGTTTAACGAGTTTTAAAGCAATTTGGCAGTAAGTGGGCTTCCAATTTTAATTTGACTTGTAACTTTGCTTTTCTGTATTCATTTTATTTTTGAAGTAATTTATCTTTATTGTATTATGAAATTATCCAATTCCCACTAAATTAAAAAATTAAGCTCTATTTTAAATTTTATATTTATCTTTAATGTGATATACTTTTATTTTTAACCATAGCATGTCACTGAAGGTTCTAGAAATCAATATATCTAAATTTAAAACACTTAAATATGAAGTTATGGTAGACATGAACATTTAAATCAACAAACTGAAAAACACCCAAATGATCTGGCTAATAAAATGGTTAAATTCAATCCAAGTATAAGTATTTATTGGACTCCACTTATGTACTAAACACTAAAGAGAATTCAATAACAGCATGACACATGGGGACGCAGTCTACATTTTAAGGATTCGGGAAAACAGTGGTTATATCAGACAATATCTATTGCCAGCAGTGCAAAGAAAAGATAAGCCAATTTCAAAACAAACATTTCAATCAAACTAAAAAAAAACAAATAGCCAATTTCAAAACAAACATTTCAATCAAACTAAAAGAAAACAAAAACATTTATAAAACAGTATCATTATATTTCATATTCTTTTTCCATGGAAAATCAAGTACATGCCAATACTACAAATAATAACATTTGCGATCTAAACCATTTTAAAAAGTCGTTAGGAATAACCACACTGATTTAAAACAACTTAAGAAAATATGATAAATTAAAGTTTCATAAAATCAGAAATTACAAGCAACAGATGCCTGAAGACATTTTACATAAAAACTTTTCTTCTTCTGAAAAGTAGAAATTAAAGTCCACAGAGGTCAGTTTATATAATGTAAACTTAGTAGAAAAGCTTAGAACGTTCTTGTTGAAATAGTGTTATCAAAATGAGTCAGGAATTATTAAATTCAACACCCTTTCAATATTTTTATGGATGAAGATAGCTTGATTTATACTATAACTCTTAAAAACCTTCCTAAATACATTACAGTAAAATGAATACGAAGTAACTGTAAAAATCTTTGCTTCTTTCTGTTGTAGTTGATTTTGGTAATTTGTAGATTGCTGCTTTATTTGAAGCTCTGAGGCTTCACGCTTCTGTTGAAAGTCAGTACAAAGTTTTTTCAGTCTTTCATTCTAGAAAGCAAAGAGAAAAGTATTTTCAACAAAAAGACTGTAAGTTATGTGCATGGAATTATGAAAAAAATGTTGCTTCATATAAAAAATGATGTAAAAATATAAAAGGTCTCAGAAAGAATTATGGCCTTTAAAATATACTTTCAAATTACACAAATGCATAAACCTGTTTATACAGAATATGCCTAGTTCTAAACCAAAGGGGGAAAATTAACATTTTGCTCAGTTTGATTTTGTGCTAAGAAAAGCTGCTGATTGACGTTTCTCCCATCTTTCTATCCCCAATGTCTAGCATATAATACACGTCTAGGAAATGAATGGACAGATTTCCTGCTTGAGCTTCTGTTTTCTCCCCAAGCAGCAGAACTTTTTAAAGACATATTTTTAAAAAAAGATTCCTGGCTGAATTACAGGTGGGAGGCTAAAGCCTCACATCACCTACTTGCCTTGCTCCCCAGACACCCTGAGGCACCTCTGAAAAATCCAGTTGGAAAATCACTACTGAGATTGTTTGAAAAACTACTGTTAAAAGTATACAAAATAGTCTAAATATAATTCAGTGACTCTAGACTTTATACATAATCTTTTGTTTAAGATGTTGGAAAACATGAAAAAAAATTACTCAAATTTTATGTACATAAATATTATCTTAACCTCTTATCGCTCCTTGTCATGAACACAATATGAACATAATAAGAACATAATGTGACAAGAGAAATAGACATTAAAACTCTCTGCAAAAGACAATTTAAAAGTTGTTACAGATAACTTACTAAGCATTCTACTAATAAATCTATGCAGTTTAACAATCATGACTGAGAAAAAGGAGACTGACGGTGGGCAAGAAAGCTGCCAGAAGATGATGAATTTTTCACTTTGGGATGTCATCTTTTTTTTCTTAGATTCTAGGAACTTCTGATGTCAGCAGCCATGAAAACTATGGTCTAGGAATATTTCATGAATTCCCAGAGAAAACGAATGGAGTAAATCAAAGGAGTAATTACAACATCCACAAACCTTAGTTTGGGACTCTAGACCCAGAAATCTAACACAGACCTCGCTTATCTTGAAGAAGTGGTAGTAAGAAACAGGACTGATGGTCACACAACTAATTACCTTCTAGTCTATTGGCTGCTTTTGCATGATTTTCTGAGAGCTGTTAATATGAAAGACATACAGAAATGAATAACACAATATACTGAAGCCAAAACCTGGTTATAAAAGTCCACTTTAGGCTTTTAAACACAATAAAACCCCTGAGGTTATTTAACTGTGACTAATAACTAGAACTTTGAATTTGGTCAATACCTACTTGGTTGTCTGCCCTCATCTCCCCAGTGATATGAGAGTCAGAAAGGTTGAGAAAACACATAAAGGACAGATTCTTCTTATCTGGCTGAACCTGTAATATATTAAGACTTGTCTGGGCTCATATTTTCTATCACATGGAATAGGTAGCAGAGGAGGCTGGGCTGAAAGGAAAAAAGAATAAACACACACGACGAAGAGCAGAGAAGAATATAAATGAGAATAAAAGACTCCTGGTGGCCTCCATTTCTAGTTGCAGCCCCTTCCTAAAGTGTGCCTACATTTCTGCTCTTGGGGTCCAGACACAATTACATTCTTAGAATATTTCATCCTGCTTAATGCTTGGAAAACTATCATGGTCCACTCGTACCAACTTTGATTTCTTTTTAAAGCAGTCCTATCTGTAAGAATTGATATTAATGACTATTACTCTTTCTTAAAGGTCTTCCAACAACAAAAAATGTACCTACTTTTAAAAATAGAATAAAATTCATCCCACCTTGCAATTACCATAATGGTACATTGGATCCTTTCATAAATCTAAGAATAATCCCTGGGATTGTAATGATCTTGTATTTTCTGTATCCTGAAACATTTTGGTATTTTATTATCCTAGGATTTATTTTATCATTATTTATCAACTATTCCCAACTAGGCTGAAAAATACTAAAATAATAAGAAAATGGAAGACTTACGGAATCACCTAGAAGAATCATGTAATAGTGAAATAACCAGTTTTCTGTTCGCATTGCCCTAAGTATGACATCATCTTTATGAAAGCAAACAGCAGTTTGGAGATATCTCTGGAGGTTTTTTTTTTTTTTTTTTGGCTTTCATTGAACATAGTTGAAAATTCAGAATTTTTCATTTTTTGACAAAGAAAAATAAACTGACAGAGGAAAACATTTCACAATCACTAGACAACTCTGAAGATGAATGGAAAGAGACAGAAAGCAGCACTCTAGAGTTTAATGGCGAAATTGACTATAGAGGCAAAATCTCAAACAAGTCTTTAGATGGCAATTTCAAAACGAAATTTTCTCAAACTCAAGAACTAATGAATGAACAATATATTTCCAAGAACAAAAAGGAAATATGATTTTCACATTAGCCATTCAATAAGAAAGTATTTTATTCTGCAATACCTTATGACAAGGACCTGAACCATCCCATTTTGCTAAATGAATATGTGACAGTATTCTTTCATTAAGTATATATAACATTTGTACTCCAACATTTACTTGATTCAGTTCATTCATGGACAAATGCTGAAGGCCGGTGTGTATACAAAGATGACTAAGGAGGAAACAGATGACCCAGAAATGAAAATAATTCAATGGATTGATCATTCTAATTGGTATTTATAAATATAAGAATAAAAATACTTTGTAATTACGGAGCAAAGATGACAGCCATTGTCTGATCAACAAAATCATGAGTTCTCTCTCCCAAAAATCAACCAATCTACAACTATAAAAATGCAACAACAGCCAAGCAGGGGCCACTGGAGCTCAGGGGAAGAGGAGGAGAGACCTATGCAGTTCATGAAGGGGGAAAAACCACAATGAGAGAAAGAAAAAACTGCTTGGAGGATTTTGGGCCACAGCAGCCTTGAAGGCTTGTACTGCTGAGCGCATGGCACAGGAGCCAGTAGAAGCCACAGCTGTACCCTTCAGATGGAGTTGCTTGGAGGTGGCATAGGAGAACAGGGCCTTGGTGGCCCCCAGGACAGAAAGACCACTAATAGGGTTCCCATAAACCCACATAGGAGCAAGGAGCCAGAACAGCTGTAAAAGGGGAGCTGTTAAGAGGCCAGTAAGTCATCACATGGGACCCATGCAGGACCCATCACACATGAAGTGTGTGTGGGGGGGATGGGCCCACCAGGAGAAAACTGGGACACAGCAAGGACAGCCAATCTAACCCCCAGTCAGCACAGGACCACTCAGAGGAGACTGGTCAGGAATGCAGAATTTCATGGGGTGCAGTTTAATGACAAGATTCAGACCCAGATCAGAGTTTCTACACAATCCAGGTGTAGAAACTGGAGAGCCAGAAGTACCTATAAGGTCAACAATTAAACCCTGAGCTGCACAAAAAGCCTTCCCTAGGGAAACAGCAGCAAAGCAGCAATTTAGTGCAACAACACAGCTCAAGTACTGGTTCCCACAGGAAGTTTGCCCATTTTAGAAGTAAGCAAAGGACAAAATATTAGTTCCAGCCCAGGAACACCACCAGTGCCTTGAGGCCATCAGGGGACCTGGGGCATGAAGCCAGGGGCAAGACCCCTGTCCACTACCAGGCACACCGTCAGTGCCAAGGAACACACCAAAAACATCACCTCCAGGGCCGGCCCGGTGGTGCACTCAGTTGAGTGTGGTGCTTGGGAGCACGGCGGCGCTCCCGTCGAGGGTTCGGATCCCGTATAGAGACCGGTCCGCTCACTGGCTGAGTGCGGTGCGGCCGCGACACCAAGGGTTGTGATCCCGTTACCAGTCGTTGTACGGGTGCGACACCGAGGGTTGCGATCCCGTTACCGGTCATGAAAAAAGACAAAAAGGAAGAAAAAAAAAATCACCTCCATTTGGGTGGCCCACCACAGCTACCATGGTTGCCACGAAAGTGGCTAGATGCCATAACCAAAACACAGATGGTCCACTGGCCACTGGAATGCATTGACACAAGGAGAGTCACCAGCAGAGACCAAAAAAAAGAAGAGGATGTCTCTCTCCACAAAGCCCATTCCAGAGCGACAGAAGAAGCATCTGCTTTATGATAATATTAGGGGACCTGAACACACCTGTCAGCATTGGACAGATCATCTAAGCAGCAAATCAACTGAGTGACCATTATTCTTTCAAAGGGAGAGAAGAAATCTAGGGTTATCAGTGGTGGGAGGGAGGAGGGAGAGGGGATAGGGAGAGATTGGACAAGAGGCATAAAGAATAAGTACAATTTGTAAAAATACACATACTAGTAATATTGATTTGATCAACACAGAATCCCCAAAATATGTATAATCAATTATGATTAAATTAAAAAAAATGAGCCATTAAAGTTTTCCAAACTGTCAGTTTTAATGACACAAGTCAACAATTAGAGGTAATGATCAAAACAAAACAATAAATTTTAAAAAGGGGGGCAGCCCCATGGCTCACTCAGGAGAGTGCGGTGCTGGTAGCGCTGAGGCCACGGGTTCTGATCCAATATAGGGATGGCCAGTGTGCTCACTGGCTGAGCGTGGTGCAGACCACACCGTGCCGAGGGTTGTGATTCCCTTACCAGTCAAAAAAAGAATTAGAAGTAATGGTAACCTAAAATCTACTAGAGGAGTAATTAAAATCTGGAACAAGTATTTACAAGATAGATAGAAACATTCTCATTTATGCTTAAGAGTTAACATGTGCCATCAATATGTTTCAATAAAAAATTTAATTTTAAAAAACACAATAAAAGAGTTAATAAGCAGTTAACTGAATTCAAAGAACACTGCCTATTCTGGGTGTATATGTTTTAAAACCAGAAAAATATGAAATAAAAATTTGGATTTGCTATATTTAAATTATTATTAAAATTTCTAATAAAGTTTTTCACCATTACTTTATTCATACTTCTGTAAGTTGTAAAATGACTTAATATGAAAAGATTAAAATAGTCTATTGGACCAAGTCAGTAAATGTGATGACTGTTTTTATTTGTATACAGAAGGTTAAGTTAGCTTACACTGGTTACTATTACTTGGAACTAAAAAATCCTAACTAATTCAGTAAGCTACACATATTAACATCTATAAGCAAATCTAATTTCCTTTGGAAAACCTCTGAAAAAACACTGCCCTCTGTCTATATGAAAACTTACTAAATAAAATATTCAGCCATATCTACCCCTTACCCTTTTACAGCAGTAAGTCTTGAACAGATATACTGCACAGTCACATACGGGGTTAGGGTATGAAGTGAGCACATATGGTGAGAATTACGTATAGTCAAAATTATCTCAGAAAATAAGCCCTTGGGAAGTCCAATCGTCTCTTTTCCTCTAGTATTTCAGCAGCTTATGGTACTTTGAATAAACACCAAATGAGAAAGTTAGCTTGCATTTGGAGGTGTTTTATCAAAAACAAATATTTCTAAACACTAGAATCATACTTACTATAGTCCAATGATAACACTATGAGAGGCATTAAAAGAACTGAGATCAACAGAAGGACAGAAGACTTCTATCTCCCTTCTCAAGCTCAATACGAGCAGACATTCATTGAGCAGGTTAACCTTATTTATGTTTTTATTGAAATGTACACTGGTGAATTAACCAAAGCTAATGCTCCTACACACACCTCTGCCCTTTAATTTTTCTGGGTGGATTTGTGCCAATGAGTGCTTTCTCAGGATTTCTTTAGGAACTGTGGGAACGATTTCCTA